AATTTTAGATCTAGAAGAATACGTCAATAGCAGCGAACGCTCACTCAACTGTTGAGTCCGCTGAATGCAGCCAATGGCTACGTTTACACCGTGCATTTAGACCGCGGCCTATACAATAGGTGTCCTTGGCCGGTATTCATAGTCGGATCTTATATTTAAGACCGTCTTAAGTACAATCTTAAGATATCATGAACCAATCAGAGGGCCACATTAGCGATTTAAGACATTACTTAAGACGGTCTTAAAATAAGAACCTACTATGAATACTGGCCCTTGTTTATCTTGTAAGTTAAACAAAAACCTATCGTATAGGTCGCGGACTAAGTGCACGGTGTAAACGTAGCCAATCCCCCTCCCGCGTTTACAACGTGTCGATTTAAAGGAGAGATCAGTCCCCGCTGTAGAACGCAACATGTCGGCAATCAGCACGTGAACTTATCTGTCCGATCTGAGAACGTTGATCTACATCAATCCGCGAAGATGTTTGTCGACTCGTCATCGCGTCTCGCAGCACAAACTTGATATCTATTTCGAGTCGTACGCAATGCGTTAATCGTTTATTTATAAACATCGCTGTGCCGTTTTCCAGCCGATGTTTACTTAGGTCTTCGCACACTCGCATAATAGTAAAATGTGTTAAGCCTCTTCTCTCTCTGTCATTCCTTCTCTCATTTTCGTGTATAAATTATGGACGAGGTTTGGTTTCACCTCTCGAATCAGCTCGAAACGTTGCAGGTAATTGGATTTGCTTCTGATTTTTCCGTACTTGCTCCGACGATCGCGCTTTATATGTTTAAAAATTTTTCAGTTAATTTGAAAGTTGTAATTTTGCAAATTTGAAATCCCAAGACATTTTGTAAATATTATGTTGTCTTCATTTTTAAACTAGGCGTTATATTGTAATTTGTGTTACTTAAATTACATAAGTTTTTTTAATTAAAGGATAAATTTTAATATATGTATGTCAATTTTAAATAAACTATATAGTTCAATATTATATAATATTTTGGTGTCATACTTAATGCACGTCTGCAAATCATTTGGCATAAAATATTCATAGAAATCTCAATATAATATAAAAAAAAATTTGGGGGAAGGTTCAAGCATCAGTAGCAGTGCAACAGGGACAGCAATGGTGTGTGACATGGCTAGCTCAGTTACGACAATTTATCCTGCAGCTTTGCGACGAGCAACATGCTCAGTATGCCAAAGACATTGTATCATACATGGCTACTTCTGTACAAAGAGGATGGCAAGAGGTTCAATTTCAATACTACAATACTCAATGGAATTCAATAGATTTTTATCGCCAAATAAGAATTTTATGTGTTAATAAAGGTACATTAAATATTCAAATATGTTTGAACAGATTTCTTTATGTAATAAAAGTTGATTTTTATCCAACATAAATGTTTATATTCTGTCCAGTGTCAAGGAGAGAAGCAATATTTTGTTTGACAGGCTTAGTGATTGGAACTGTAACGGGCTACTATATTAGCGTAAATTGGAAACCTACCTCTCAACGTATACATCACATAAAAACTATCGCTTGTCATCATTATTACGGTATCGAGGTATATCATATATATGTATAAAATATATCATGATTTTGAACATAGATATAAATATATAGATATAAATATATATATATATAGTATTCATAGTTCATTCTTATTTTAAGACCATCTTAAATAATGTTAAGATGCTAATACGGAGCAGTAATTGGCTTGTTACATGACTTAAGATGGTCTTAAATATAAAAACCAACTATGAATACCAGCCTTACTATTGCTGCAGGGTATATTACTGATAGACGATTCTGAAATGCCAACGATCAAAAAATCAAATGAATTACTTATACAAGTTAAGGCCGCCTCACTTAATGTTATTGATACAAAGATATGTTCTGGTTACTCTAGGATCTATAGAAGATTACTTAACTCAGGAGTAAGTAAAGTTTCTCAAGAACCCATCGATATCTGGTGATCCAAACTATCATTGTAATCAGTAATGCATGTACCTATGTATTTAGAAACAGAAAGAACTACCTGTAACTTTAGGGAGAGATTGTGCAGGAGTGATAGTTGACATTGGACAAAGCGTTATCAATTTCGATATCGGGGATGAAGTATTTTTAGCCGTTCCATCGTGGGCTTCTGGCACGATGGCAGAATATATAATTGTTCCAGAAACGCAAGTAGCAAGACGGCCTAAATCATGTAACTTCGAAGCCTCTGCTAGCTTACCATACAATGGTTGCCTGGCATGGGATGCTTTAGTTAATAGATCTGTCATCAAGGAAGGCAATGCCAAAGGAAAACGGTAATACTCTTGATATCGTTTTTCTTGGCTCTCATGTCTAAAATATCAATTGATATATAAACATTATCATTGTAGAGTTCTCATTTTCGGTGGAAGTACTCCGATCGGTTGTATTTTGACGCAATTAATTAAATTATGGGGCGGATATGTAGTAACCGCCTGCCGAACGAACGCCGTGCCTATAATGAAGGCATTGGGTGCCGACGAAGTTATAGTAATAAACGAAACTAACGGCGAAAAAGAATTACAATTGCATGATAAGTACGAAAAAGTTTTCAGCACAAGATTTATAATACAAAAATTACTTTATTTAAATAATTTAAATAAAAAGTATATAGTCTTTAATTAGATTGGACTTAATTTCATTACAGGTACGATGCCATTTTTTATACTGATAATCAACCTTTTCAAGAACATATTTTAAAGAAACACTTATTGCCTCATGGCTCTTATGTATCAACTGTTCCTGAACAATTGACGTCGGACTCGCTGGGATTTATTTGTGGAAGTGTATTTGCTGGATGTGTTAGAATAAAATTATTGGTTCAGGTATTTTGATCCATGCCAGTTCAATAATAATAATTGTTTATAATGTATCACTAACTGATACTTTAAATTGTAGTATATGTTCGGATTTAATATGCATCAATGGAAGGAAGGGGCAAAGTTGAACATCGCATATTTGCGAGCATTATGTGAGCTGACCAATGCTCATCATTTACAAACAGTTGTGGACAGGGTGTACGCGCCCTACAATATCGAGCGAGCATTATTCCATGTTTTAGATCCGAATTCTATTGGTAGCACGATTATAACATTTCAATAACGTATCATTGGAAAAAAATTTATATCGCGACTATATGTAGGTATACTGTATATCTCTTGTACATAACAGTGTATAATTTTGGCGGGTAATCACTGCCATATACTGTTAATAAATATTTACATCATTGCAAACCAAGAAATAATAATTCAAACTAGGGATGCAACGAATATCCGAAAAGTATCCGGTATCTGGCGCTTTTTTATTATCCGACCGGATTAATTGGATATTATTAGTATCCGGGAATATATTCAGTTGAAATTTTATATCATTAAATTATTGATTCTTTATTATACAAATGTTCTAGAAATAAATATGCATATTCATAATGCTACAATATTTTGTACATTGTTGCAAAATTACAATTTTTTCTCTACAGATTTTTTTTAAGACATTTTCCCGAAATCCAGTCGGATATCCGAAAAATGTCGGATATTTGACCCGAAGAAATTGCCTTCTCGGAGTATCCGACCGGATATCCAGAATATAACATTGGATATCCGGTATCTGGTAATTCTACGATCCGGTGCATCCCTAGTTCAAACATACTTGGTGCTAAAATAAAGACTGACATGATACAATTAAGATATAGAATACTTTGTCCTTTTCTAAATTCCTGCCAAGCTATTATTAAAAAATTATTTAGAAATATTAATAAGAAATAAAATATGATATGAAGATATACAATGACAATAAATGATGAAATGCATGAATCTAAATAATATAGCAATGTTTAAAAATTTTTATAAAAATATACCACGAGACACTGTTGAACGTTCGCTACGATGAAATTTATAAAAATATATATTGTACACAAATATTGTATATATTTTACGAAATAAATAGAAAAAATCATATCATGTTTACCAATTGAAACTGCAGTGTAGAAACTTATAAAAATAAATATGCAACACGTATATAAGACATTGTGTTGAGATAGCGTTTTATACAAGACATAAGTACGCTGTTAGCATTGCTTTACGTTCTTGTCAAATTTATAAAATTACTCTCACTTTGCTTTACCGCGAAATTTGCTGTTACCTGCTGCCTTTGCCTTCTTAGCTTTGCCCGGAAGCTTTTTTTCTTCTGCCTATAAGTGTAAAGAAAATCGTATTTAATTTCAACTTAGAGATATCAAGTAGTAATATTAAAGTGGTTTGTTCGAAAACTATCTCACCTTCCGCTTTGGAGTCGGATTTGAGTTTGGTAAAACTTTGAAGAATGAATCCAATCGGCCTTGCGTAGACGTGTTTCGAGCCTTGTGAAGTTTTTTAGCTCCGTTTCTAACCCGTTCCTCATTAAACTGCTTGTCACCACATAAAAACTTCACCAGACCCTCTTCATCTGGTTCGGACCATTTTAACTTACGAGATAAAAGAATATTTAATACATGTAAGTTACGCAGAGAAAAATTATTCAATGTAAAAAGTTACCTGGACGTCATCTGGATTCGACACTTCTGGTTCTTGAAACAATAATCTCGCATCTTTGTAATTCCAATCTTCCGGAATGGAATATTTCTTGACATCTATATTTTCAATAATTTTTTCAAGAGACCTATGATTTTTTATCAACTCTATTGCCCTTTTTGGACCAACCCCTTTGATACTATTTGTATAATCGCAACCCAACATAATACAGAGATCGATAAACTGCAAATGATATGTTACTTGAGAATAATTAATAAACCAGTTATTAAATAAAAATGATACAAATACACACCTCATTATGATTTAGCTCTAAGCCCATAAGAACTTTGTCGAAATGAATCTCTTGTACTGGTAACTTCCTGGCTTCGCTAAAGGTTAAACGTCGAAGTAACACATTGCATCCAAAAGTGAGTGCGTCCATATCTTCCGTAGCAGTAGCAAAAACTTTACCGGCTTTCACTAAAGCGGCACACTGTGCTTCAGCTTCGCAAGGAGCCTGGATAGAAAACATCCATTATAGAAATGAATAAAAAAATCATAATTTCACACATTCACACAAATACTTACATCAATATAAGGTATACCCATTAACTGAAGTAATTCTTTAGCTTCGTCAGCATGAGTTTTTGTAACTTTAACTAATCTCCTACTAAACTTGTCAATAGCTTCCACATTTCCTTTAATAAAAGATATCTGCTATCAAAATTTGTCATGATCTTATATAGAACATAAATTATTTTTCAAATATTACTACAGTAATGAGATATAATTTGTCATTACCATCTTCTTCGGCAGCCTGCAGGAGTTTCTGTGCCTCATCTCTTCTTTCAGCTCTTTTAGCTAATTCTCCACTTTTTAGATTCGGTGGTTTTCCATCAAATACATACACAGGCTTTATCCCTTGCTCTACCATGCGTATGGTACGATAAAATATACCCATTAAATGGCTATAAAGTTTACACAACCGATTAGTTCTCAATAATTTTTTATAAGTTGCCTTTTTAAGATAATTTTTTACAATATTTGATAAAAAATAAGCGCAACTTATAATAAAAGATTGTTACACAATTATGAAAAATATACCTGGTTGTTTCGCCATCTACAGTAGTGAGCTGTGCTCCTTCACTGCGGACAGCTATAAGAAACTGATACAAACACATAGATGCATCAATAGCAATCTTGCGACCTGTAGCCAAAAATAGTTCCAAAAGTAAATGTCAATAACATTATAACAGAATCGATAATTAATCATAAGGATTGACAGATTATACAATTTTATCTGAGATGTGTAAGAAGATTCGTGGATCGTAGTTGATGGTTAAAAAGCATAAAATTAAACGCAAGACAGACAATGACTTACCAAAATAATGCTTTAATTCTTGCTCTTTGATAGCTTCCGGAGCTACGTCTGCTATTAACTTCGACAAGCCTAAAATACCCATGTCAACAAAATGTTTATCATGCAGGTAAGAAAACGATAAACGTCACGCAAAACACACAGATTACAGCAGTCACTTTCTGATGAGAGAGGCAACCTCTCTTCCCGCCAATTTCCACAATATGAACGGAGCAGTAGTCTGAAGTGTACAATGTTGCCAATCATCAAACGGAAGCATAAGTTGGCAATCATGGAAAACTCTGTTTTCGTTCTCACACATTCTTCATCTTTCGTTGTTTTCAAAGAATATATGAATAAGAACGACTAACTTTTTTACTAATTACTTTATTTTTTTATTATTTCTGCAAATTATCCTGGGGGCTTATTACGGTTCCTTGTGACGAAGTGAAAATTACAAAAATGAGCGAATTTACTAGAATATTTATAACTTCATTGGTTAACATCTAATGAATTTGATAATTTTCACTTCGTCACAAAAACCGTAATGCGGGATCTACTATAGAAGTCGTAGCGGTCGTAGGATTTTAAATCGTAGAAAACTGACCAATCAGAGTCGATTATTCTTCTCGTATTCGACTGTAATTGGTTAATTTTCTACGATTTAAGACCCTACGACCGCTACGACTTCTATTGTAGACCCCGCATAATAAGCTCCCTGGCAATTCTCAGGGTGAGTTCCGTTTCTCGCATGATGTGCATAATGCATCATTTATCCTTATTTAACATTCGGAATAACAAGGATAAAAGATGCACACGCGCATCATGCGTGAAACGGAACGCAGCCTATATCATGATGTTTGTTCGCGTTGCTTGCACTTTTTGCACTCGGCATCTTCGCTTTCTCTCTTTTTAAAGCCAAATATATATCTATCTCATTTTAAGTGTAAAAATATTTGGGGATTTCATGTAACGCGACAGACCTATGATCTGATGTGGACAGTGCGTCCACGTGTTGCCCGTGTTGGTAGTGGTTAACCTCTGTTAACCGCCAAAGAGTCCAAAGCACTGTAATTCTACAAAGCACTTTAAAACAAACGCTGGCGAATGCTGCATATTTCTTTCGCCGGTATTTTAGTATCTAAGCAATAAGAAATGACGAGTAACTGCGATTTGATAAAAACGATTGAGGATGATCAGGAGGTGCCGGATTATTCCGAGAATTCGGATGAGGAAGACGACGTAAGCAGAAACAAAAGCTTGTGTCGAAACAATACAAGCGATTTGTGTTAAAAACATTTTATTTTTATTTCATAAAATGTTTTTTTTTCATATTTTTCTGTTAATGAATTCGATTACTTGCATTACGTTAGATTAGTGCATACTAAAAGTTGCTTTATAAATTAGCAAAGTTAAATATAACAGCAAAGATATAAATATTTTATACAATTAAATATGCAATAATGACAAATATTCAGTGGTGATACATTATTATTGCATTGTCAAAAAAATATTGATTATATTATGCCACTACATTTTATTTTATATAAAGTAGCATTTAAATGTACACTACTCCAGTATAGTGTTAGTGATTGTGTGTGTGAATTTATCATTTGTAAATAGGTATAGCTTTGTTTTATCTCGGATATTAATGAATTCGGTCACTCGTACTAATACACTGGATTAATATACATTAATATATATATTAAAGTTACTTTGTATAAAGTATTTAAGTATAGTGGCACAAGATAATCAACTTTGACAATAAAATAATATTAAAAATAATATTAAGCTAAATAAGTGACAGTATCATTCTTAAGTATTTAATTATTTAAAATATTGATATGCTTTTACATTTATCTTTACTAATTTTATGTATAGCAGCTTTTAGTATGCACTAATGTAATGTAATACAGATAAGCGAATTCATTACACATTTTCTCTTAAATTCTGAACTGTTTGTCAGTTTCAACCACGGAAGCAAAAGAAAAAAGAGAACAAAGATTTTGACAAAGGTTTCCAATTCACTTCAGCTGAGCATAATCTGGATCCTTGGAATGACCTGAACAAGTATATTAAACGCAAACCAAACACAAAATTAGATGATAAGATAAAAAAAGCTAGAAAGGAATATGGGCAGGTAATGTATCACATTGTCTCTATTATTTGTAAATTATAAGTGTTATAGTAAATTGTACTTTATGAAATTTTTATTATTGAAATTGTGATGAAGTTATGAACAAGAATTTGCTATTATAATTGCTAGGCTGGAACAGAAGATCCTATTAAAATTGAACCAGAAACAGGTCAAGATGATGATGTAATTTCCCTGTCGGAAGATGAACTTAAAAAAGGTATAATTTTATTT